CGGTGAGTTTGTTGTCAATAGTTGTCAATGACAGCCACGAAGTACAAACATACTGCGCCTGGAAAAAATGAGCGCGTCGCTTCAATAATGAGCGGCGCGCGCTTGCCGCGCGCCTCCATTTGAAATAACGAACTTGAGCGCGCAAAATATGTGAACGCGATATGTGAACGCGATATGTGAACGGCCCCTTGTCGAGCTAACAGCAATCAGGCCACGAGCTATTGGTAGCTCGCGAGCGACGTGTTGGAGAGAGACCCTGCTCTAAAACAATGTGAGAATAATCATTTTGAGCTTGTAATATGTGTCCAACAGGTTGATAAGACGGTTTGCTTTGATTTGTGCAAAGTCAGTCATTTGCCTGAGACACTATACATGTGTAGAAAGAATTCAATAAGACGGGCAGACATGACTGCAAATATTTGTATTTCAAAAGCAATAATTGTTTTTCTAAGTATAATAAAAGGAAATGTGCCTTCCAAAAAAAAACATTCAATATCATTAATGTGTTGTGTAAAGAAAATAAAAAGGACATAAGCAAATATAAATATCACAAATATGTGTTATAGACAAAGAAAGTTTGTAAAATGAACTTCAACTGTCAGAAGGACAGCTCATGAAGAACCAATCATGTACAGAAAGGAATGTTCAAATTCAGAGGAACAGTTCAGAAGAAACGTTAATAATAAATATTGAGAAGATTGGATCAGTTGTGCTCCTTTTTTGGAATACTTGAATACTATTTTTTGTGGAATACTTGATGCGGCCCAGCCTGACCCAGACTCTACCTCCAGCGGCCCCCAGTTAAGTTGAGTTTGAGACCCCTGCCCTACTCCCTTTAAACTTAAATTGTCAATGTTTCATTTTTGAAAACACTCTTATCGGAATAATTTTTTGTACCTTTATAAAGGGCATTTTCCCCCTAATTTTATTTAATGTACTGGTATGCTCTAAATTTCATTTCAAATTCTTACATTTTATCAATACATTCAATTAAAATAATAAGACAAGGCTGTTACCAATCAAATTTAATAATTTACATTGAAAAATTAAAACTGTGTTAAATGAGATTATGAGATTGTTTTGAATATTTTTTGAATATACAAATAAGGAATGTTGAAAAGAATGATACTTTGAAACTAAACCGCCAGTAGAAGCGGCAGGCGGCCGTCTTAATGAGCGAGTCATTGAGTCATTCATTCAAACGATTCGTTCAAACGGCTGATTGATTCAGAATGAGGCGGTTTAATAATGGGTAAGGTTAATTGAATCTTTGACTCGAGCGATTAGGTCAAAACGCTGAATCATTCAGTAATGAATAATGGATGAGTGTTGCTAGCTGTGAGATGCGCTGGTTCTGTTGTTTGGAACTATTTTCGCTGCTGAAACAGAACAAAAACAGTAATTACGTCTAAAAATGTAAGTAACTTAATTTTAACTATTTGTTTATTGAACTGTTATGAAATCAATATCTTGGTTTCAATCGTGCTTGCATTCAGGAAAACAGCACTCTGGTCGTGTGTAGTCTATAACGTTATATTGTTTCTTAACTATAAATTTGACGGAGGTGGCCGCCTCATAATTGTCTATGCAGGAAAACCCCTGCAGATTTCAAACTAGCAATAGCCTACTCCCTCACCGTTGTGCCATCGTTTCGTTAGCTTGCGTATCGATGTGAGCGTAGTGTGAAGTGGCTGAGCTGGTTAAAGCGTGAAGCCTTGTTTATACTCGACGCGTCCGCATGAGCCAAAAATGACGTCATTGTAACGGCGCGCGCGCCTCCGCATCCCCTAGACACCATTTACTACACACAGTAGGCTCACACATGGTGCATTTTTAATTAATAAATAATAATGAATACAAATATTGGTGTTTTTTCTCTGATTTTGAAAACTCTTCGCGATCGACTAATGCTTCCAAGATCGACTTGTCGATCGCGATCGACGGGTTGGTGACTCCTGGATTAGACCATTAGCATCTCTCTAAAAAAAAATGACCAAAGATTTGTGATATTTTTCCTATTTAAAACTTGACTCTTCTGTAGTTACACCGTGTACTAAGACTGACGGAAAATGAAAAGTTGCTATTTTTTAGGACAATATGGCTAGGAACTATACTCTCATTCCTGCGTAATAATCAAGGAACTTTGCTGCAGTACCATGGGTGCAGCAGGCGCAATGATATTACGCAGTAGGTAATATGCATGTGAATGATGTCCTGTTTTCACAGATTCACGTTTTTGTAGTTTATACAGAGAAAGTTCAAAAACTTGAACTTTGAAACCCGTTTTCAGACCAAAACGCTGTTGTCGGCCAAAACGCATAAGCCTTCCGTTTTTAGTTGAAAACAGTGTTGTGTAAACATCCCCTAAATTACTAAATGGCAAACCTAGTCTCGGGCCAGTGTTAGAGTGCAACCTCGGCTTTTTAAGTAGTTTGCCATGATAACAAGGTGTCTTTAAGTACTCCAGGCAGCAGGGGATTTGTCTGATATTTACACACCATAAATCAGCTTGGTTCTCTTTCATACAGTAAGTGTGCACTCAAAGACCATCAAGCTGGTAGGCGTAACCCCCAAACGCTGCTAAACACAAATTGTACAATAATTATTTCAAGGTGTGTGCTTCTTTTATGTCTGGTGCTACCCCTAAAGATTAAAGCCAATGTGTTGCATTTGAACGTCAAGAATGCAGGAAGTGGTTGGGGAAACATCTTTTCCTGTTTAGCGTGCATGGATGAGAGCTGATATTAACTGTGGCAACATGAAACACAAGGGATGAGGGTTTGAAGATTCACGGAAAGTGAATCTTTCTTAGATAGCAAGTTGCTAAATTCAAGAAACGGTACAGTATTTTATAGTTTATACAAAAACAGCATCTTAAAAAATATAACGGTAACACTGTATTTTACAATGTCCTTGTTACACGCTATATCTACTTGCCGTTACTAACAGTAAACTATGCATCTACTAAACGACTACATTCAACTAACCATAAACTAAATCCTAATCCACACAATAGCAAATACATGTTGTTTATTATTATTACTTAATTCTTAATTGTATAATTACACTGCAACAACGACACCTTAAATAAAGTGTAATTAAAATAACTGATGTGTAAACTTTCTAGATCTGGTAAATAACTTTAAATGCTACATCTTGTGTGAAGAACTACTATACTGTTCAGAAGAACTACTATACTGTTCAGACAGTATAATTTTTATGCATGCATGGTGGTAACAGTCTGATAAATATAACCAAAACCAATCAAAACTAGCAGTCTAAAAATGCTATCATGGTTCTCAAGTCTTTCCAAATGAATAATATAGTCTATAATTTGAACAAGACACTATGGTTTAGTAACCAGCCTGCCACAAGTTGTAAAAGGTCACAAAAAACAATCTGGTTATTTTTCAGTTGACAGAGCCTTCCTTTAATTAAAGTCTTTGCACACAATTCAAAATACCTCAACTTAGTTTTTTCCAGTCCATCCTCACCTCTAAGAATATGAATATGTGATGAAAGTGTTTATACTGGTTTATTGTTCTACCAAATTAAAAATGAGGCATATCACTATAGCTAAAAACTAATTTTGGACAAAGAAAATTATAACTGTAAAAAGCTATTTTACCATCAACCCATAGGAAATAAAATACCTTAAGGATTATAGCAAAAGCAGGTCCACTGACATGTTGATGCCTTGCTAAGAAAGCATGACAAATCATCAAGGGTGTCTATGTTACGGTTAGGGTGTGCTGTGTTTTATGTTTGTCAAGCAATTGGGAAATAAAACGCAAAAAAAAATCAATAATACGTGCACAATTAAACCCTTACTCCAACAGAAAAGGGACATGCATTCTTTGCATGTATGCAATAATTCAAAATTATAAAGCACAAGATTTGTGTGGTTCATTTTAGCAATATTTAGGACTCATCCTAAAGTGTGGCACTAGAGGGGCATTGGCAATCAAATTGTGATTTTAGTGTGCCATCCACTGTCTCTGCTATGCAACTGCAGCTCAATCAAATATGTAATCAATTATTAATATCAACTGTCCATTTGGAGAACAACTAATATTAGCAAAGCATGAACTAATATTGAATACCCTAATACGTTATTACCCAACCCTTTGTTGTTTTGAGAACAACAAAAAACACTGATTAAAGTAAAAATTAATGGTTCCACAAATCTGTAGGGACGGGGGAACAATATGGAACACAACTAAATTAAATGTTATTATCTTGGCCTTTTCAGGTGTGTATATCAGGTTTATGTCATATTCATATGGTTACTGTGATCTGCTTTCAGCATCCTCAAATTCAAAAAGAATCCCAATACATCAAGTATCTGTGTTGTGATGATGAGTTGACCATGACTCTGTGGGTGACTGGGATACGTATTGCAAAGGTGAGCAGAAACCAGGCCACACACCAAAAACCAAAATAGATAGTGTCTTCTTGCATTTATCATACAATCATTAAGTTGAACTTTTTGGAGCAAAAATTGGCATTATAAATTATAGTTTACAATGCAAAAATGTACTGTAAATTGTTGCTGTATTGGGTTGGATCCTATTGTGAGCTGTCTACTTTGTCAAAAAATAGTAATAATTAACAAATAAGTTCCCTTTCGTTGTCACTCCGAGTTCCGTGGATGACGACGAATGGGGTTTCGCTTAGAAAGTCTATCAACTTAGAGTATTACAAAATGAGCCAATGGCAAAGAAATGCCATGGGTCTGCGGAATTTGCATGGCGTAACTCCGCCCCACCTCGTGGGTATAAAAGGAGGAATGCGGCAGAATGCAGATATGTTTTTGCTTCGGAGCCAAGTTAATTCTTCACTCCACAAGCCATCTCTGAACTGTCAGCTTTTACAAGACGAGCGAGATTCTTCGGTGTTGGTGTGACGGCGATCTCCCGGCGAGTGCACACTTCCTGCTTATCTGTGCAGTGGTTTGCCAGTGAGTGTGTTTCTCCCCGGGCGCTTCAGCACCGAGTTTCCTCTCTAAAAGAGCTTGCACGTGGCACGTCTTTTTAAAGATGCCTAGCCCGTGCACTTCTGGTTGTGGCAGACTCGTGTCTGACTCTGATGGGCACGAGCGCTGTCTAGTGTGTTTGGGCATTGATCACGCTAGAGCAGCGCTCGTGGATGACTCATGTTCTCTCTGTGGGAAGATTACCATCGCGTCATTGCGGTCGAGACTCAATGATCTCGCAAGAGTGAGAGTCCCCTCATCCACACCCCGATCTACTTCCTCTAAACCTAGAGCTAGTACTTCGGCTGGTGGCCAGGGTGACGGTGTGGAACAAGGCGCCGACTATTTGTCCGTGCCCTGCACCTACCCCTCCAGTGACGGTGCCCGTTAGTGTCCAGGGGATTCCAGCGGGCCCATCTTCGGATGTCCCGCGAGTTTCCTTTGGTGCTACAGAGGATGATGCGATGTCTGTCGCTGCATCACAAGGTGGGCAGGATTCGTCGAGTGAAGACTCGACAGCGCTGCCTCCTTCGGGTGTGCAGTCGTTCGTCGAGTCTGATCCCGAGATGACTGCCATGCTTACCCTGGATGATTGGTTTTTGGGTACGGCCGCCGAATTACGTCCGCGGCCAAACCCAATATCTTTCTTCCCGGATGTGCATGATGAGATCTCGAAGTCCTGGAAGACCCCCATGTCTTCCCGTGACCGCTCGCTGCTTTCATCCGCCTTCCCTCCCCTCGATGGAGCAGCTGCCCGTGGGTACACTGGGCTCCCCCGGTTGAACGCTCTGTTGCGATGCAACTGTGTCCTCAGAGTGCTTCTTCTCGCGGCGAGCCTAAGCACCCATCCAAAGCCTGTAGATTTTCGTCTATGTTAGTGGCGAAGTCTTACAGAGCGGCAGGACAGGCAGCTGCTTCTCTGCATGCTATGGCCACTCTGCAGGTCTACCAGGCCCAGATGCTCAGAGACATGCACGAGGGTAGGACAGACCCAGGGCTCTTTGAAGAGTTGCACGCCGCCACCGACCTCGCTCTCCGGGCGACGAAGGTGACCGCACGCTCCCTGGGTTTGGTGATGTCCACAGCCGTGGTCCAGGAAAGACATCTGTGGCTGAACCTGGCTGACATGATGGATACCGAGTGGTCCCGGCTGCTTGACACCCGCATGTCCCAGGCCGGCCTCTTCGGCGGTGCAGTTGAGGACTTTGCCCAACAGTTCTCGACTGCTCAGAAACAGACTGAGGCCATTAAACACATTCTGCCCCGTCGACCCGCTGCTGCCTCCACCCAGTCGGCCGGGTAGGTGCTTCAGTCTGTTCGCCACCGAGGGCGCCCTCCTGCGGCTCCCACCTCTCCCGCCCGGCCCAAGCAGCAGCCTTCACCCGGGCCCGGTCGTGGAGGAAGCCGCAGGAAGGCACCCCAGCCCTCTCCAGCCCTGCGCCCCGCTAAACGCCGGGCAAAGCGGCGCTCCTGAGACGGGCTGCACAGAGATGTTGACTGTTACTTCTCAGGAGGTGGTAGCAGGACCACCCCTTCCCCCGGTGGAGGGCCGGGGGAGAATCTTTTGTTCTCCACTCCCCGCTGCTCACCCCCGGGTGGGCAGCACCCTAATGTGGTTAAAGAAAGAAGTAACACATCCATCCCTGAGCACACAGAGTTCTCGGACGACACGGTGCGCCGCCCCCGGGCCGTGCACCCCTCGTCCTCCTCTGTCCCAGAGCCGGATGACAGTGCGCGCCGTCCCCGGACCATGCCGCTCTCATCCTCCTCTGGCAGAGCAGACCCCCGTGGAACATTCGTCCTTCCCTGGTCTCCTCTGTAAGGGCGCGGTCAATGACTGTGCCCCCACTCCGGGCCGCTATGCCGTCCGCGTCTGGGCCAGTCATTCCGCCTCGCTGCACCACCGATGGGAAGTCTGTGGTTCGTATGACCCCGCTGGTACAGTCATTGGGAGCCTGGCTAGAGCTTCCCAACCTGTCCCGCTGGGTCGCTCGGACGATCAGGCTCGGCTACGCGATTCAGTTCACGCGGTCTCCTCCCTGCTTCAGGGGAGTCTGCTCCACTATGGTCGGTGGCAATGCCCCTATCATGAGAGCAGAGGTTGCTACCCTACTGGCGAAGGGTGCGATCGAGACTGTCCCTCCAGGCGAAATGAGGTCCGGCTTCTACAGCCCCTACTTCATTGTCCCGAAGAAAACCGGTGGGTTACGGCCAATCCTGGACCTGCGCGTTCTGAACCGCTCCCTTCACAGGATGCTGTTCAAGATGCTCACCGCCAAACGCATTTTCGAATGTGATTGGATTGGTTTGCAGCGATCGACCTGAAGGACACCTACTTCCATGTCTCCATTCTCCCTCGACACAGACCGTTCCTACGGTTTGCTTTCGAGGGGCAGGCATACCAGTACGCGGTTCTCCCTTTCGGGCTAGCCCTGTCTCCTCGCGTCTTCACGAAGGTTGTCGAGGCAGCCCTTGTTCCCCTTCGGGAACACGGGGTTCGCATCCTGAACTATCTCGACGACTGGCTGATACTAGCTCACTCTCGAGACCAGGTTCTTTCCATTCCATTTCCATTCGTTCCATTCTCGAGACGAACACAGGGACCTAGTGCTCCGGCACCTAGCCCGTCTGGGCCTTCGGGTCAACTGGGAAAAGAGCAAACTTTGCCACGTGCAGAGGATCTCTTTTGTTGGTATGGACATCGACTCGGTCGCCATGTCCGCGCAGCTTACGAGCGAGCGCGCGCAGTCACTGCTGACTTGCCTGAGACAGTTCGAGGGCAAGAGTGCGGTTCCACTGAAACTTTTTCAGAGGCTACCCGGGCATATGGCATCTGCAGCCGCGGCAAAGCCGCTCGGATTGCTTCATATGAGACCGCTTCAGCTTTGGCTTCGCGACCGAGTCCCAAGGTGGGCATGGCAACACGGCCTCCTTGGCTGATTCCCCTGAGGAAGGACCTCCTTTCTCAGGGACGGGGCACCCTATGGCACCCTCGTCCCGATCTTTGGAACCTCCACGTGTGGCTCCTGGATGGGACGAGGCAGGTTTGAGTACCCTACCACCAGCGGTGGTGGCTACCATCACTTCCGCTAGAGCATCATCCACGAGACACGCCTATGCGTTGAAGTGGAACTTCTTCATCAACTGGTGCTCTTCTCTCCTTCAAGATGGGTTGGAGCGAAGGCTGTCTCCCTCCACCCTCAAAGTCTATGTTGCCGCTATTGCAGCACACCATGACCCAGTCGAAGGTAAGTCTGTGGGGAAGCACGACCTGACTGTCAGGTTCCTGAGAGGAGCGAGGAGACTGAATCCTCCTCGCCCTCCTCTCGTTACCTCTTGGGACCTCTCAGTGGTTCTAACTGCCCTGCAGAGTGCTCCCTTTGAGCCTTTGCAATCAGTGGAGCTTATGTTCCTGTCAATGAAGACAGCGCTCCTGGTTGCATTGGGCTCCATCAAGAGGGTAGGTGACCTGCACGCATTCTCCGTTGACGAAGCGTGCCTGGAATTCAGGCAGGCCTACTCTCACGTGATCCTGAGACCCCGGCTTGGATATGTGCCCAAGGTTCCTACCACTCCCTTCCGGGACCAGGTGGTGAACCTGCAAGCGCTGCCCCTGGAGGAGGCAGACCCAGCCTTGGCACTGCTCTGTCCAGTACGTGCTCTCCGCGCCTATGTAGACAGAACGCAGTGTTTCAGGACCTCAGACCAGCTCTTTGTCTGTTATGGTGGGAAGCTGAAGGGAAAGACTCTCTCCAAGCAAAGGCTGTCTCACTGGATAGTGGACGCCATTGCTTTGGCATACCAGCAGCAAGGTCGACCGTGCCCCCTTGGTGTGACTGCCCACTCCACCCGGAGTGTGGCGTCCTCTTGGGCTCTAGCGCTTGGCGCCTCGCTAACAGACATCTGCGGAGCTGCAGGCTGGGCGACACCCAACACATTCGCCAGATTCTACAATCTCCGAGTGGAGCCAGTGTCCTCTCATGTACTCGCTTTAACCAGCTAGTACCGGACCCGCTCAGGTGTCTTCGCTTGCTCGCCATTCCACTCTACGGACTGGATACGTGCGATATTCTCCTCAGGTGAGCTTCCCCGAAAGCCCTGAGTTCCTCCAGCACTCCTGACGTCGGCGCCAGTGTCTATTGGTGCCTCCCGTGTGCATGGTCCCTCCTCTGAGCGACCCCCACATGTGTATTCCACTGTAAGCCTCTCTGAGCATGTGTCTTTCCCTTGGCAATTGTATAATTTTTAATTGTATAATTTCAGTTTTTTTTTTTTTTCAAAATCAAAATTTAACCTACTGTATGTTACCTGACTGAATTTTCTTTTCTTTTTTTTTACAATTTGATACATTTTCTTTGCACATTTGGTAGTGGAGAGTTTCAAGCAGTGTTTTTTTAGTGTCACTTAAATTTTGAGACTGTTTTTTTTTTTTAACCTGTGGTATAGATTTAGTATCGATACTGAGGTATTAGGTTCTGGTATCGTACCGAAGCCAAAATTGTGGTATCGAGCCATCCCTACCCCATTCGTCGTCATCCGACGGAACTCGGACTGACAACGAAAGGGAACGTCTCGGTTACGGATGTAACCCTCGTTCCCTGAGTAGGGAACGGAGACGTTCCGTCTTCCTGCCACTTTCCGCTGTACCGCGGGGATCGCCTGAGCTCAGTCTTGGCTCCTCAGCGAAGAAACATATCTGCATTCTGCCGGCTTCCTACGCCATGCAAATTCCGCAGACCCATGGCATTTCTTTGCCATTGGCTCATTTTGTAATACTCAAAGTTGATAGGCTTTCTAAGCGAAACCCCATTCGTCGTCATCCGACGGAACGTCTCCGTTCCCTACTCAGGGAACGAGGGTTACATCCGTAACCGAGACGTTCTTCTACCTTATTAACGGTCTTGTTTTGTCATGATTTTTTCATAGTATGGTAAGCAGTTATATGAAAACTACAAAACCGCTGTGAGGAAAGCAGCAGGCACTGCAACCTGGGCTAACCGCACTATCCAGGCCTCCTCCAGTGCATCGACACCCTCTCCGACACCTAAAGGTAGAGATAGTGAGCTAAATACATTGTTATAAAATGTAGATCTTGATATATAAAAGGATTTTGATGACATTTTTGTGTTTGTCTTTCAGCCAAAGCTGCGAATGGACACGCTCCTCAGCTTCCAAAGGACACCAAGGTACCTCTAAATCTATCAATTGCCTTAGTAATGAAGAACACCATAATATAATACGATAAATAATATAAGTTCATGGACCATACTTAAGTGTGAACTGAATGTAATGTTGTCAGACACTTAACTACATGTTAATTACAATTCAACAAAATATAGTTTAAATGTATTGACACACTTAAGTACATCTTTTTATAACATTTCATAATTACTTCTATTTTCTATGAAATAAGGTTGAAGTGTACTGCCGAATATACTGAAAAGCATTTATAGTAAACTAAAATATACATATCATTTCTATTGAAACTTGTCATGTTTTAAATATTTAATTACACATTTGTCATGATGAAGTTGCCAATTGGTACATTTAAAATATATTAACATTAAATGTATAAACGAATAACACACTACAGTTAAAATTATAATCAAATTTACATGTGCTCTAATATGTTTGTCAACACATCAAAATAAGTGTACTGCTAAGGATTACTAAACCATTAATTTAAAAATGTATTATAAATAAAAGTTTAACAGTTAATTTGTCATGATTGCAAAGTACACTTTTTAAAATTGTACTTAATTCTGTTAAGAAACAGTCATGAAAGTGCACTGTCTTTGAATACACATATGGGCTAGTGGCCTTTTATTTAATTAATATATTATCAGAATATATATATTTTTTAAATACTTTTAAGCACACTACTTTTTCACAAAGAGTAACGGTTCCTTTAGAGTTCTTTTAATCCCCTTGTAATTATATAATTTATATGAAATGCACCTGAATGCTACATTTGGTTTGTTTTTGAAGGTTTCTGGCAACCAAACATCTTTCCCACCACCTCCGCCTTCAATGGAAACCCTGCCTCCTCCACCACCCGACCCCATGTTGCCTCCTCCTCCCCCTACTCCTCCAACCAAAGTCAACAAGTTTCCTCCTCCACCTCGATTCCCACAATCCTCCCTCCCACCTCCACCCATGGATGACCTGCCTCCACCACCTCCTCCTCCAGAAGATGCCGAGCTGCCCCCTGACTTTCTTCCTCCACCGCCTCCTAGTTTAGCACCTTACGGGGGAGACTTGCTCCCCCCACCACCTCCAGACCCCATTGCCTCCCTTCCACCACCTCCTCCTCCTGGTCCCCAAAACTTTGCATCTGCAGGTGGAGCTCCACCACCGCCTCCACCCCCGCCTCCACCACCAGCTCCTGCACTGGCTGCCAAACCATCCGTCAGAAAAACGGGTCCACCTCCACCAAAGAGAACTACACCTCAACAAACAGCGCCCCCAGGTGGCGAACTCATGTCAGAACTGATGACAGCAATGCTGAAAAAGCGCAGTCAACAATGATCTTGAATTCAGATAGAATTCAGTTTGTGTAGTTGGACTGAGGAACTGACCGCCAAACAAGTTCTTGGCGTGACATGAGGAGACACATCTTTAATTCTTTTGTTGGTCAATATGCTTGTATTACACCACCAGACTAAAATATGTAAATACTTTGTACTTACGCACCTAATCAGATTATATTACAAATATGCTATATCATCATTGCTAATGGAATGTCATAATAAAGAAGGTCTTGAAAAGTTAACTGTTTAACAGATTTTGGCATGATGCAAAGTTTTTTGCACTTTTGTAGAAATGCAGAAACAGCAATATTACAAAAGACATCCATGTCCATTGTCCATATATAACGGGCATATATGTACATATATAACGTCGAACATGAATCATCCTCCAATCAAATCATCCATTAGGAAGTGTGATTACAATGTCATAAACAATATTTTTGGTTCAAATGATGTTGAAATTTGTGATTTTTTTTTTCATTCGACCCTGAGTTAGGAGGAACAGCTGACCCTCAGCTGCTGAGCCCAGGATGGAGGTTTACTGGCATATCCGGCTCTCTCAGCCTCTTCTTGCTGCATAAACGGCTCCATTAAAGTCTTCTGCAACAGCGCCACCTAGAGATACATCAAAAATACTGTCACCTAAGAAAAAGACGAGCCATAATGGTCTGTCTGAAGGTGTTACATTGTATGTATAATTGTCAAGTCTTCATTTCACAGTAATACATTAAAGCAAATGCTCTAAGATATATGATAAGCATGATCATGAAAGCATATTAGTTTGACATCACATGTAATAATACCTCTGAAAAGTAATTTTTCTCTGCTTTTCTGATAGCAGATTCAGCCATCCAGTTCCTCAACACATACCGTGGGTTTACTCCTGAACAATAGAAACATTACAAATAACATTAAATACAACAAAACACATCGTAAAAAAACATACACTACCGTTTAAAAATGTACGGTCAGTAAAACTTTTTAAAAAAGAAATTAATAATATTATTCAGCAAGGATGCATTAAAAGGGACAATAAAGACATTTATACTATTACAAAAGATTTCTATTTCAAATAAACGCTGTTCTTTTTAACTTTATATTAATCAAATCCCGTATCAGGGTTTCCACAAAAATATTAAGCGGCCCAACTGTTTTCAAATGTTTCTTGAGCAGCAAATCAGCATATTAGAATGATTTCTAAAGGATCATGTGACACTGAAGACTGGAGAAATGACCACAGGAATAAATTACATTCAACTGAACAAATATATTAATTACACAAATACTGTATATTCCAATAGAATAATTTATTTTATATTGTAATGATATCTCATAGTATAATAATATCTTGTATTATACAAGATAGCAGCTCCCAGCAGCTCCTGCAGCTCCCAGGCTCTGGAATGAGCTTCCTCTGTCTGTAAAAACTTGTCCTTCATTGGGTGTTTTTCAGAGTGCGCTTAAAACTTATCTATTCTCTTTAGCATTTGATAATGCTTTGTAAGTTGTGTATGTCATGTTTGCATTGTTTTTATGTCTTTGTTTTTATTTAATTTTTTATACCTTCTGTACAGCACTTTGGTTCCACTTGTGGTGTTGAAAGTGCTATATAAATAAAGTTGAGTTGAGTTGAGTTGTAGTAGTAATACAAAATGACTGTTTTTATTGTATTTTTGATTAAATAAATGCAGCCTTGGTGAGCTTAAGAAACTTCTTTTTTAAAAACAAATCTTACCAATCCTGAACATTTCAACGGTAGTGTAACAATATATAACCACATAATACATAACATTGCATCATATAACATATACAAAAACATACCTTGCATTCTGTGCTGCCGTGCTGCATCTGAGTCACTTATTAGCCTGTAGAAGATCATTAAAACATCTAGTGATGTTCATTTTGACCCTCTAAAGAGTTTGAGTTTACATTACAGCAACATTACCTTGACAGACGCTGTAAATACAGCTGAACCCAGTCTCTGAAATGCTTGTGTGATGAGAGGTCTGAAAGAGCCCACAATGACTGTCAAGAGAGACACAGTCACAGTTAATGGACTGAAATCATGATTATGGAGTTTGCAGCTGCTGTGGGAGTGAATGGAGAGGAAACGCACCGGATCAATGGATCCCTTCTGAAGCTGGGACAGGGTCACTTCACTCAGCTGTCTGAAAGTCATAGTGAAGTCTGCTCCAGTGTCCTCCATCAGCTCAACACATCACACATCACACAACAATATATGGGTCATTCTCAGGAAATGCTGCCATTTGTGTGATCTACTACTGATTTAACTCGATACTGAACAGTTTGGTTTTTACTTTGACAGGTTTTAAAACAAATAAAAAAAACATCTAATTAAAAAAGTTTATAATGAAAGTGTGTATATATGTATATGTGTGTGTGTGTGTGTGTGTGTGTGTGTGTGTGTGCGTCTTTCTATAACGGTTTACTGATTCCTTACTTTTTTCATAAAAATAAAATACAATTTTCTGTCACAAATGACACCATTTCCTGAGAATGGCCAACAAACTTTATCACATGAATTAATTATAGTACAATTAGAGAGAAAAAAAACAATCCAGCTAATATTTACCGTTAAAAGAAATGCAATCACATATGAATCCTTTTCTTCATTTCCCAGAAAGCCCAACTTTGCTTTGAACAGCTCCTGAAATCTATAACAGAAACAGTAAAAGGAGATCAGGAATGACTCAGAGATGAATACAGTGTTCTATATTGTCTGATGACATGCTCACCTTTGATGGTAGATTTGTGGATATTCTCTCAATATTTGCTGAGATCTGAAGTAAATGAATTGACATGAATCACCTGTTTTATTCCAGACCAATACCAACAAAAAATAAAACGATGTCTTACTGTGAAAGCTGATCCGAGGTCAGCAGTGGTCTCAGAGCTTCTAGAAGTTTCTGTAGATTGAACAGGCCAACATCAGCCTGAGCTCCTATACTGTACCGGCCCTCGTCATCAGACGTGTTGGGGACAAAATCTATACAGAGGAAACAATGAAGTAGCAATAACACCCATTAACAATACAATTATTATATGTTATTATTATGGCTGTCTGTTTCACTTTAACTTATTAGAATATAATAAAGTAAAATAAAACAAGTAATGGGTTAAATAAGCTTACTATTCATACAATTTTCCTCCACTTTTTGCAGTATTGTATATATATACTGTGTGTATGTGTTCTCATATATGGTTTATGAGGACACAAATGTGTGTGTGTGTGTGTGTGAGAGAAATGTTACATTACAAAAAGCTTAAAAAAATTAACTTATATGAAGATGATTGCTAATATTATGAAAGTTTAAGCTAGACAAAGAAACATACTTGGCTCATATGATTCCATAAATCCGAATGGGCCATAATCAAAAGTGATAGAAAGCAGACTGAAGTTATCTGTGTTGCAGACTACTGTGTGAAGATGCAGATCATGTTGTTTTGCATTTTGCGTATGAATCTCAATCTATAATGATAAATCAATGTGATAACTAAACAAGTAAAGCAGAGTGAACTAACCATGAGCAAAACCAACCGACATCCAGTGGGCGATTAAATGTGCGGTTTCATTCACCACTCTGGAGAAAAACACCTTCACACAACATGACAACCATTCAAATATAGTGAGACTGATCAGACAATATAAAATAATCTAGTATTACAGCTAAACAGCAGAAAGACACAGATACTCACCACATACTTGTCAGGGTCATTTGTTGCTATAGATTTAAAATGCTCTTTAATTACAAAGTCCAACAATGTCCTGAAAATAAAAATTTAAAAGAAATGAAAAAGCAAATAAGAGTGAGAAAAAAATATTACCATCCCAAGTTAAAGTTAATATACCGTAGGACATCTAACTCTCCAGTTCTAGTTAATATCTCCAGTGAACCGATACGAAACCAGGACTTGGCCAGACGCAGAACAACCGCTCCTGAAAGATACAGAGAACAATCACAAAAAGGACAGATAAAGAACTTAGTTACTCTATTTTTCCAAATCTGATCGTATTTTACCTCTTTCTTTTATGACACTGCCATTATAAAACGGATCCCTCCAAACAGGTTCCTCACTCACAACCAGACTGACAAACAATAAAGGCAAAAAATGGGAAAAAGTATAAATAAAAATAATAATAATATTCAACACCAGACATTTGAATGTGATAAATACATATATTCCTCTTCTTGTGCATGTCCATATGTACCTGAGGGCTCTGCTGGTAGGAACTCCCAGAAAGTGCATGGCTTCACTGCACAGGAACTCCCTCACAGAGGAGCGAATCACAGCCCGTCCATCACCAGCCCTGCACACACAACATCATGTACAGTAAACAGCAGAACCATTACACTACTGACAGACAGACAATTTAAGATCATTTACAACTAAATATATCTCAGAATTACTTAAAAAGCATATCAAAAATATTGAGCAGCAGGAACTGATATTCGCCTTGAGTATGGTGTCTTTCCTGAGCCTTTCAACTGGAGTTCCCATCTTTCACCTTTTCTGGATAAAAAAAGAGATTATATAACGGTTAACACTTGTCACAGCTCTAAACTGAGAGATGTCATTGTCCAGACACATGTTTAAGCATTAAGTGAGAATTAGATTTTTAAAAAAAGACAGAATCATCTATTTGCTGAAAAACCAAGAAGTATAGATCACACTCTCCATTCTTTAATCTTAAACAACATTATGGGAAAGTTGACATGCATCACAACAGAAAAGTCCCATATGACAATAACAACTGATGATTTCTGTTGAACGCTGATGGAAAAGGATGATTTTACCTGTTTGTGTATTCACCCAGCAAATGTGCTCTTCCATCCCCCAGCTGTCCGGCCCAATAACCAAACTATAATAATAATAACACATGGTTGACATGTTTGCTCTGGTTGTCTTATGCCATCGCTGTCGGGTGTGAAATGACTGTCAGTTTTACCTGATGGCCCCCGTATCTGTGTGCCAGTGGAACAGAGCCAGGAAACAGTTTCCCACCGCTGACACAACGGACAAACTCTTCATTCTGAATCACAGACTCATTCAGATCCAAAATATATAACACATCCTGAAATACACAAAAGAGTCTGAATATATGCAGAAACAACATTTTAAAAAAAAGTACTGTGGTGGTACCATGGTCCAGTTGTGTTTTAGAGCAGTTTTCTCAGACTGTGATCCTCAGACCACTGGTGGTTCTGTAAAGGAGTCCAAGTGGCCCACGAGTTCATTAGCTGATTAAAAGCTTTATGACTGAATAAAATAAATTAATAAAAGTATAACTGACAAAAAAAAAAAAAAAAAACTGAATTAACTGAATGAATTAACTCAATACAATAAATGAACTTTTTGTGACTAAATTAATTTATGATAAAGTGTTTCTATTGGTATGTAAGTGTTTGATCCAATTTTGAAGCTAGCATTATAACATACAATAGCTAAAAATAAATTGTCCACTACCTAAAGTAGAAGTTTATTTGAGGAGTTGAGTGGTTCATATTTGTTTTCTTTAAATTGATCTGCTACACCCTTGTAAAAGTGTTAAAATAAAAAAATGGAAAACTATGTTTCTTTAAAAAAAATGTTTTTGCAGATAATACAATATTAATCAAATAAAAAGCTAACGAGTATACTTTCATGACCGTTTCTTAACAAACTTAAGTACACTTTTAAAAAGTGCACTTTTTAATAATGTCAAATTAAAAACTTCCTTTTAAAGTACATTTTAAATCATTATGTTTTAAATTGTTATATAATAATATATTGTTGTGCTTTAAAACATGACACTTATTTTGATGTGTTGACTAACATACCAAGGTGCATAAAAAGTACTATAATTTTAACTGTAATTGATTAATGTTCCATTTAAATATTGTACTAAATTGCAACTTCATTATAACAAATGTGGAATTACAAATATGTATTAAATTCCATGATTTAAATGTCAACGTTTAAATATAAATCATATTAATGTTAGTTTACCATGTACTAACCAATTTCACACAAAGACGTGGACTATAAGTCCTGCTTAAGTGGGTCAAAAGAAGCACACTTAAGTTCAACTAACTAAATTTCATATAAATTAAAAACCATAATAAATGTTCATTTATGATGCAATTAAGTATCCGAAACATTATATTCAGTTTGCACCTAAGTATATTCTTTTAAATTGCCTATATTATTTTCATAATTTCTCTGTATGCTGAAGTGTAATTCTTTGTAACAACGTCCATTGTATTTTTCTGTTTCTTAAATTACATACACAGTCACTGCAACAATATCCCCAGGTTTAACCATAGACAGTAAAGGGTTTAACTGCAGTGAAACATAGGTTTTCTGTAAATGATGATGAGTGTATGGGTTTATTGACCTGTGCCACAGCAGCCAGTGTCAGGGGCTCTTTCAGAGGAGAGGGCTGAGACTCTGAAAACACACATCTCTTCACAGTACGAATACAATTACCATCAACCTCATCAAGAGGGAGAGCTTCTGTAAAACACACAGGAAGTGATTAAACATAGTCAACGTGTAAAATAGCATATTGACACTCGTACTACCTGTAGCCTATCTTACCTAGTAGTTTATGTGATAAAGCCAGTGGTATTTCTCCACAGTGTTTCACATTGCTATAAAAGTGACTCTTATCGAACTCTCTTTCGTTACAACTTCCATTCTCACAGAATCCTTGTTCGTCCTTAAATGTAGCGATGACGACGGCCGATAAAAATAAAAATAATGTGAAACCATGTTTTGTCATTACATCAAACTCACAGGCATATTATTTTCTATTTGTCCTGTACTTCCTTACATCACGTAACTAGAGGAAAACATCAGAACTGCCACACAAACAATCCTTCAATATTCCACCAGAGGGCGCTCATCGGCTCAACAACCCGAATGCTCCATTTATGCCATATTCGGGACTGTTATGTTTTTTTGGACATTTATACGCGTTATAAACCATAACCGATTAAATCTATTAATTGTATGGGTTCAGAAGCTGTCGTACAAATGAAAACTCTCGGAACTTTCTCACTTTAATGATTAAATAAGCGTCTCTAGCCAATGATCAGAGACGACTGTGATTGGTCAACCCCCAATCTGTACTGTAAAAAGTAACAGGTACCATGTGACCAGCCGTCTATTTAAAAATACTGAATACTTAAAACATTATAAATACTTCTGGAGGGAGACGATTAAAAATCTCTATGATTGAAATTAATGTAATAAAAATCAAAATGTAATTGTTTTAATGTAAAAATGTAAACATGTTTTAAGCCCCCCAAGTTATGGGCCACTATGGAACGTCCATTTTATAACAATTTTATGTTTACTGACACATTTTTCCCATATTAATTAATTGTATTACTGAAAGGGCCTTCTACAGCAGCACATCACGTGACAGTATCTTACTGCATATTTTGGTTTGGTGGGAGGGCGGAGTACATCAATATTCATGAGCTTCCGGCGCATGCACGTGGAACTGAGAATTTTAGTTCACGCTGCTTGTTTTTCATGTAGGTCCTATTTGAAACTATACACAAAAAAAATGTGTGTATAGGCCTAGTAGAAGACTGGAGCTAAACAAGTAAGGAACATCATGGTCAATCTTGTGAGGTCCATATAGTTTAGTTTAGGCTATTTAGTGGATGTGAAGAGGAGGAGGAATGTAGAAGTGGTTAAGAGTAGCCTATTAAATAATAAGAAAACAGTGCTAGATAGATTGTATTTAAGTGAGATGTGGAATAATAAGCTTATGAACGCTTATGTTTTATTACTGTACTGACTGATAGACAGGTGACCTGATCTGCACGCCTGTCTCACACCCGCTTTCACTACACACTGCACACCGCCCTCTACTGGCGAACACAGGCATGACAAATATGCTGTGGTTCCTACAAATGCATTAATCCGTGTAATAATATGATTGTTTTGAGTTTATCAGCACACAAAACTGACTGGAGTTATTAACTGTAAACCTTTACCTTACTGGTGATTAGACTCACGTCATCTGCCTATAATGGCAACCATTAAAACACTACTAACCAACAGCGACTTCAGCAGTTTAATCACGTGCCCATTTCGTCACAGATAATAGCGAAAGTAAAAGGCTTGTTCGACTTCATGCAGCTCTGCGCAGACCGATCGGCGGCAGACTTGAAGCAGTGCATGCCGGTTAGAAATTTTGTCCGACTTGATACAGCGCCGACGCCACGTGACTGTGACGTATGCCCAAGGGCGTAGATTTGGTTTGAACATTGGGGGGGTTGAAGTTTGGGTATGCCTCCTGATATTGTGATCATGATATAAATAATAGGGGGGTTGTAATGCATAGATTTAAATATTGGGGGGGTTATATCCCCCCCATCCCCCCCACAAATTACGCCCCTGCGTATGCCATCAAAGTACCGCGAGAGCGATTCGAGAGTAGCCGGAGAACTCAGCCAGCGCAGCTTCTGAAGAGCGGCTGCTCTGGGCTGCACGAGCTCTGATGACGACACAGCTGTTCCACGATTGGCCGGATTCACCGCATGACAACGATCACGTGCGTTTCGTGTTTATTCGGTTTATTCTCACACCTTTAGTTCCACTAAAGCTCACAAATCAGTTTTTTTTATAACAGTAAACACTCTTTTCATGTAGTCGCGATGTATTGTGTTATGTTTATCAAAATAAAACTGATTAAAAAACGTTGATTCCACTTCATTGATAGTAGCTGTAGGCTTATGTTGAACTTTATTCTTGTTCAAACAAACGCTGTATGAAGCAGTACATAAAGTAGTGAATGAAAATGTCTCTGAAACATCTGTGTATTTGGCAAATATTGCATTTATTTCACTTCAGCTGTGCTAAATTATACAAACACCACGTGAGCGGTCACTACAGGAACCAGAGAGTGTCCGACTTCACGTCTCCGTTTGCAGCTCCTCCCCGCCTGCACGCGGCTACTCTCGCCGATCAGTTACATCCAGCCGCAGCCGATGTCGAACACACCTAAAGAGTAGGGGGAGGCTGCAGACTTGGAGCCGGCAGATATACGCCCCTGGCAGTTTTACGCCCCGGCAGTTCCCTTATCGAGTCGGTCTCTCGACATTACGTATGGGGAAATCCATTTTCCTCGAATCATGAAGTCTGATAGAATAACTCTTTTGCTTGCAAATAGCCAATGGCAGTCCCGCCATCACCTGATTGGCTGACACTGCTCAATATAGGTGACGGCGGGCGCCAAAAACCTCAGAATCTTTTTTCTTCACTCGAGTCTGTTTCACCGTTTGATTTACGCATTCAGAGCGGAGTAAAATTAGGAGTTTTTATCCCCTCTCGCGTTCCGGTGGATTATACTATGTCTCTTTGTCGCACGTGTGGTGGACCCATCGAATTCCCGGATGCACACAAACTTTGTGTGCTGTGCCTGGGTCGGGACCACGCTGAGGCGGCACTTGAGGGATCGGGATGTCCCGCCTGTGAGGAGCTTCCCATCAAGATCCTTCCTGCAAGGCTGGCCGTTACACGTAACGACGACCTTGTGTCTCCTGCCTCTCCCCAGTCTGCCACCGTCGAGCCGCGGACCGGGAGACAGCAGAGATTTCCATCCGCGGGTTCTGTTGAGGCGCTGACGTCGGCCCAAGGCCCACGCCATCCTCACGTGGCAGAGCCCGTAACTTACTCTTAGGCCTCTTACCGCCCTCCTCAGGAAGCGCGGAAAAATGGTCTCGTTTGGATACGACGATGACGACGCCATGTCCACCAATGCCTCCGAACCAGGAGCATGGTCCGAATCTCCGTCTGAAGGCGCCCCCGCCTCTTTGGATGCGGAGCTTATGGCCATTCTCTCAGAGGCGGTGGCAGATATGGAGCTGGAGTGGACGGCGCCCAAGGAGCTGCCGTCGAAAAGATGGATGGACGGTTCCTTCCTCGGCGCGGGCCGTCAAGCTGAAGCCCCGCGGAGACCCGCCCCCTTTTTCTCTGAGGTCCACGAGGAGCTCACCAGATCATGGCGCTCCCCTTACTCAGCCCGAGCCCATGCACAAGGTACCCAGCTGCTGACTACAGTGGAAGGGGCTTAGAAATTAGGGTACGCTCGGTTGCCTCCCGTCGAGGATGCCATCGCGGCTCATCTGGCGTCTTCTCCTGGCTGGAAGACCGCCCAACTGCCTTCCAGACCATGTCGCGCTACTGCCCACATGGCTGAGAAGGCTTACGCTTCTGCTGGACATGCAGCATCTGCCCTCCATACGATGGCAATTCTGCAGGTTTTCCAGACGCGACTCCTAGGGTCCCTGGATGAGGGAAGCCCGGACCCTGAGTTGCTCAGGAAACTGCGCACGGCGGCAGATCTCGCTCTGGCGGCGTCTAAGAAGGTCGCTCAGGGAATCGGCCGCAATATGGGCAGTCTTGTGGCCCTGCATCGCCATCTGTGGCTAACGCTGTCGGGGATGCGCGATACTGACAAAAGGCAGTTCCTGGTTGCTCCGGTAAGCCCCACGGGCCTTTTCGGTGTTGCGGTGGAGTCGTTATGCGACAAGTACGCAGAGACCGTCAAGCAGTCTAGAATGATGCCGCATCTGCTGCCGAAACGGTCTCAAGCCCCCCCGGCGGCGAGATCCAGATCTTCCTCTGCGCAGCGCCCAGCGGGACCTACCAGACGCGCGCCCCCGAGCGCGGCAGAACGTCGCAAGCCAGAGCCCCCCTTCCGCCAGAGGCAGTTCAGGAAGCAGCCCCGCTTCGGTGCAAAGCCGGCCTCTAGTAGCCAAGGACGCCCGGCGGGCAAAAAAGAGCGGCATTCCTGATGCCTGTGTCGGGGAGGAGAGAGCGCGGGACGTGTTCGTCGGACCCGCTGCAAAGAGGGCGTGTTCCCGCCCAGAGTTCGACGAGAATGTGTTGATTTTGAAACCGCTGTGTTCTGTTTCAATAAACAAAGTGCATTACATGTCTCAGCAAAAGAGCTTTCTTCCTCTCAACACTATTACCCGCGCCATAAGCGAAACCTCTCCCCCGGGAGACGTTTCGCAGAGCGGAAGCTCGGGTAAAACCGGAGAAGGTGGCTATTTATGTCCCCGTGTAAAGAGCCGCGGACGAGCCATCTGCCCTCCATGTAGCGGCCAATGCTTCCCCGGTGGCTGGCGCTCAGCCCCCGCCGCAGCATTCATTAAAGCCCCCCCTATCGAGTCACCTGGGTGTTAAACACGATAAAACGCGGCTATACGCTCCAATTCGCTCGCAGACCACCCCGCTTCGGCGGTGTGATTTTGACAGAGGTGTCAGAACAGAGCGCCCCGTTACTTCGGGAAGAAATCTCCTCTCTCCTGGCCAATCAAGCAGTAGAGACAGTTCCCGAAGAGCGGAAAAACTCCGGTTTCTACAGCCGTTATTTTCTTGTACAAAAGAAGGACGGAGGTATGCGCCCTATTTTGGATCTGAGATTACTGAACAAAGCGCTCGCGAAACGCGCGTTCAAAATGTTAACAGTGAAGCAGATCCTCGCGCACATTCAGCCCGACGATTACTTCCTTGCAGTGGATCTAAAGGATGCATACTTCCATATTCAGATAGCCCCGCATCACAGGCGCTTCCTTCGGTTTGCATTCGAGGGTGTGGCATGCCAGTTCAAAGTGCTGCCGTTCGGGCTGGCCCTGGCACCCCGTGTGTTTACAATGTGCATGAATGCAGCGCTTGCTCCCCTGAAGCTCAGTGGAATGCGCATTCTGAACTATCTCGACGACTGGTTAGTCATCGCGCGCTCGAAGAGTGTCCTTGTGGAACACAGACTCCTCGCTCACCTGACGGATTTGGGACTGTCTGTGAACATGCAGAAGAGCGCGCTTCAACCATGCCAGTCCATCACATTCCTCGGTATGGTGCTGGACTCACGCACTATGATCGCGAAGCTAT